TCTGTCATACAACTCCGTCTAGAAATTCCTCAAAGAGGTGATCCTTTAATTTGTGTAAGTCATATTCTTCTCTGTATGGGCATACAAATTAACTGATATGCATCCCCTCCCTTAACCCAAAATCAATATTTTATATAAATCAGTATACGAATTTCCCGCTTATAAAACCCTTTTTGTGTAGTTTTATCTTTCGGTTCCAATCTATTAGGCTCGCATGCATATTTGATATGAACTGCAAGTCCTTATTTATATGTAAGTATTGATATAACTTTCTTACCGTTAGTCCCATGTGTCCTATACCGAGTTCATGCATATGATCTAAGCCCCATAATAATTGCCTTATATAGTACGCAATGTCTCGTTCTGTGTAGTAGTCTCGAGTTAGTAAATTATCCTTAACAAGCTCTCCTCCAGCTGCCAACTCCATGATTAAGGTAACGTTTTTATCAAGATCATAAGCATCATGTAGTCGAATCAAGTTTTTATGATTAAGGCCGTTCATTATGTCTATCTCGTTAAGCATAAACGGCCGTAACTCGTGTCGACCATACATAATTTTTGCAGCAAAATTGTTACCAGTAGCCCTCTCTACAGCGTGATATGTGATACCTTGCGTACCACGTCCTAGTTCATCGCCGATATCATATTTGTCGTTATAACGATTTTGTTTTGCACGAACATATGGATGTCTTCCGTATGTTTTATAGATGTAGGTATCTTCATCTTCTTCTATGTGCACCATTACAGAAGTGCTTATGGTGCCAGCAACATTACGGGCGCTGACGGAATATAGGCCTTCATCTTTAATAATTGCGTCGTTAATGGATAGCACATAAATATTAGGATCGTAGAAATTACTCTAAAATTTGTGAATTCAAGTATACACGGTCAGAACTTTAAATTAGATTTTTTTTATTAAAATACATACCTTAATACGGGAGCTTTCGGCCAGGGGTTGCCAGTCTTTATACCACCTAATTTCTGGAAGAGGTTCGCCAACTATATGGGCTTCCAAGCGCCCGTTCTTTCTCATCATAATAAATGTTTCGTCTGGTCGTTTCAAAAACCGTGGGTAGTCTGCGAGCTTCAATTTAACTCGTTGCCTAGCTTCACCATGTTCGTTTGATGCCACTGCTTCGTACCATCCAACATCACGCTCCAGCATCCTTTTAAATAGCCGAAATAAAAATGGTTTCATTTTATTTAATATCGAAATAGAAATTTGTAATCTTAAATTCCAAGGGTTGGATACATTCATACAATTGAGATTTAGAAAAGTATGCTGCTATGTTCAAACGGCTAAACGTGACAAATATAA